AATTTTATGTACTACAAATATAACCAAGTATTTCTATTTTTCATTTTAGTATTGATGTAATAATGTTATTCAATATAATCACTTCAACTCGATTTGAATTAATTATATTATAAATGTAAAGAATATTCATAGAAACATGTTGTCTTGGTGACCTTTCTCTTGACCAAGATGATACATGCACCTGCTTTTAATGGGCTTTAATTTCAATTGGGCTTTATTAAGCTTACCCAGTTTAAAAAGGAAAGGAGTTTGTGATCATTTCTTCTCGTATCTACATATAGACATCATCATTATGTTCACTCATTATCATCATTAGTAAGGTCTTTGTGACTTTCACCACCATTTGTCTCTAATGAAAGTTACACTTTTGAAATGCCAAGATTGACAAAGTCTATATATAATCTATACCATCATACATGGCTGCAATCTCCATTAACTTCCCTTAACTGTCCTGCAACCATCCCCATCCATCTCCAATCATGTCCTTCCTTAATTTCACTCATAATTATTTTGATTAAAATACATCCCCACTTTCTAGTTCATTTCCTTTGCCATTATGGGTGGGGTCAATAACCATATATAGTTATTATATTTTATTTTAACTTTATTCATTGTTAGATCAACTCAACCAAAGTTGCGATTTGGTTCAACGTTAGGGGAGAAAATCACACACAAACAGGATGAAAAGAATTGAATACACAACAAAGTCCATCAAAATGAAGAAAAAAAAACAAAACAAAAAGATCAACATTTCTTATATACATGTATACAGGAAAATGTGATAAAAAAAATTAATATATCAGATAAACTTCAATAATTGTTGTCAAATTATATATATATATATATATATATATATATATATATATATATATATATATATATATTATCATCCAATAATATTAAGGCTCCTAATCTAAACTATAAAGTTATTTAAAAAATATATATTTTATTATAAATATTCTGTATCAATTGTCTAAAATTAAAAAAAAATTACATAAAATTGAGGAAAAATTATTTATATAAATAACGATGGGAGATTGATAATAAAATAATATTTTATTTATGAAATAACTTTTTTTTTCGGACAAGTCCTTAATGACAATAGTTTCACAATAACTTCATATTGAGATTACACTTAAAAAAAACCCTTATTATCTACGGGTAAAATCCGTAGGTAATGACAAAAATCCGTAGGTAATGTTACTTTACCTACGGATTTCTTTCCGTAGAAAATCCGTAGGTAATTTGGTCGTAGGTAATTATCTACGGATTTATAATCCGTAGGTAATGCACTCGCGATAATTACCTACGGATTTATAATCCGTAGGTAATGCACTCGTCTGGAATTACCTACGGATTTATAATCCGTAGGTAATGCACTGCTTGGAATTACCTACGAATTATAATCCGTAGGTAATGCACTCACCTTAACAAAACAAAATATTTTTATTTATTAATTATTATTAGATTAAGGGAATTCTACGGATTTATAATCCGTAGGTAATGCACTCGTCTGGAATTACCTACGGATTATAATCCGTAGGTAATGCACTCACCTTAACAAAACAAAATATTTTTATTTATTAATTATTATTAGATTAAGGGAATTGTCATTGGCAAGATTCGAACCCAAGTACCTCGAGTTGGAGACCGATACTCCAACCACTAAGCTATTAGGATATTTTGAAAATAATTTACAAATAAATTATATTTATTTATCTGTCTAAATATATAAATATAAAATATATATAAATATAAAATATATAAATATAAAATATATTTATATTTTGATATATTTATATATTTATATATTTATACATTTGTATTTATATATTTATATTTATATATTTATATATTTATATATTTATATTTATATATTTATGTATTTATATATTTATGTATTTATATATTTATGTATTTATATATTTATATATTTATCTATTTATATATTTATGTATTTATGTATTCATATATTTATGTATTTATATATTTATGTATTTATGTATTTATATATTTATGTATTTATGTATTTATATATTTATATATTTAAATATTTATATATTTATATATTTATATATTTAAATATTTAAATATTTATATATTTAAATATTTATATATTTAATTATTTATATATTTAAATATTTAAATATTTATATATTTATATATTTAAATATTTATATATTTATATATTTATATATTTATATATTTATGTATTTATGTATTTATGTATTTATGTATTTATGTATTTATGTATTTATGTATTTATATATTTATATATTTATATATAAATATATTTATATATTTGTATATTTATATATTTGTATATTTATATATTTGTATATTTATATATTTATATATTTATATATTTATATATTTATATATTTTATATTTATATATTTTATATTTATATATTTATATATTTTATATTTATATATTTATATATTTACACGAATTAATATAAGTATAATTTAGTTGTAAATTATTATTAGAATATTCTAATAGTTTAGTGGTTGAAGTATCAGTTTTCAACTTTAAGATGTACGGTTCGATTCTTGCTAGTGACAATTCTTTTAGTTTAATATAATTTATCTACGGAATTACCCACGGATGATATTACCTACGGATATCCGTAGGTAATGGATAATTACTCACGGATAGAATTCGTAGGTAATATCCGTAGGTAATGTACACTTTACCTACGGATAGTAATTACGTAGGTAATTACCTACGGAATTATCCACAGATTACATTACCTACGGATAATATCCGTAGGTAATGGATAATTACCTACGGATAGAATTCCGTAGGTAATATCCGTAGGTAATGTACAATTTACCTACGGATTTTCATCCGTGGGTAATATCTGTAGGTAATGTAAAATTTACCTACGGATTTGTATCCGTGGGTAATATCCAGTAGGTAATGTAAAATTTACCTACGAATTTTTATCCGTGGGTAATATCTGTAGGTAATGTAAAATTTACCTACGGATTTGTATCCGTAGGTAATAGGATTTTTTTGTAGTGTTATTGCATGCATGTTAAAAATAACAATAAAAATATCTTTTTTAAATCATCTAATCTAAAATTATATAATATATATATATATATATATATATATATATATATATTTACTTAATATACCCTCTCACTTATCTTTTATCTATTCTGGTATAATATATTCCACAATCTTATATTAAAAACGAAGGAAAATGATAACTTGACACTCTCTTTCCCATAAATATCAATTTAATAATATAATATTAATAAAGTTTTAAAATTTATATGTTTATTATTTATAGTAAATTGTAGATTAGATATATGAAGGAATAGTAATTGTCTACCAATCACTGATTAAAAACAACAATACATATATATTTTTAAAAATAAATTTACTGGAGTAGCCTTATATTTTCTATAAATAACTATTTTAAATAAGAAAGCTAAAATAATTAATTTAAAAGATATATTTGAAATGAAAATTAATAATATTTCGTTGGAACGAGAAAACATCAATCAATTTAAAAGTTTTTATGTGGGTAAGGGTAGGACGGTAGTTGTATTGAAATGAAGGAAAAAAATATAGTTTTGAATTACTTCTTTATTAAACACGTAGACACAATTGATGTCACATTTCCAAGTTGTTTCTTTAGAAATTCTTCACTCTTTTATATTAATATATTATGCATAGGAACCTCAATTAAATAATCACAATATATAATTCTATAAAAAATTACTATAATTGACAATCCCATTAAAATAATATTCCAACTTGTCTTGAATGACAATTCTTTGAATTTAACGAGTTCAAAGTTTCTTTAGATTCAACGAGTTAGGTTTAATTTTGACTCTCTAGTTCACCAAGTACGAAACTCACAAGTTCTGAACAAAGAATCCAAACACCATGGAACACCCCTTTCTCACTTAACATGTTTCCCTCCCCTTCCTTGTTTATGACCTAATAAGATTCATATGCTATGAGTACCAACCAATATATTATTAGGGTTTGTTATTAGTTTTGTGTTTGAAACTATAATCACACAATGATGATATTCCTTATGTTTATAGCCAAATAATTTGGTTGGTGTGTAGATTTAGCTTTCGTCACTGTTAGGTATACATGTCAGGAACCTGTTCACACCCTTTATGCATATATATATATGTACCTTGTGATTTGTCACCAAAAGTTGTAAGCTTTAATCTTACCCTTCAAAAACAATTCATACAACTTTTCTTGACATGATTGTGACAGGGTAGAACAGATTATTTGGCAAGAAAATTGAATCAATCAGGCATATCTGGTCCAAACACGTCTCAATTGGATATGATTTTGAAAGAAAACAAAATACCAACGAAAAGGAAAACGAAAGAAAGAGAATAGTTCAACATTATGGAAGGGCAATGCAGAGAAAACATTGGCCCTTAAATAAGATAAAATCTGACACATCTCAGCCTGCAAGGTGGTGCACATTCGTGTCAAACTAGCCACATAGAGAATCAGTACCATTTTCTTAACAGAGAAAATAACAAGTGGTTTCGTGTGGATATCTCTCTCTTATCAACCCTTGTATTCTGGATACATATAATCATTGGTCTAAATGGAAACAGAACCTGACAATACCTGAAGCTTCCAAAATATCATACATATATACACTATACTATAATATAATACAAGTTGCTCTAGATTCTTGAACTTAATCAAATAATTTGAGATATTGTTTTTTTCCCATCACATTATTATGCTACATTTTTTATGTACACAATTATCTAAATATCACATACAAAATCAATTATAAGAAATACAACTCCAAGGGAAGAAAAGGAAAAGGAAAAAGAAAATTTCTCTCCTATCCATGATTCAACTCATGTATTTTAACCGAGGTAGTATGAGTATAGTAGTCTTTCACAATGTGATGAATCATGGTTCACTGAGAGAAGTGTCCCTGTCTGACATGTCTCGAACAGGTTGTCTCTGAATGTGAAAACACCAAAGAAAATATATCATTGGAGTTTCTCTTCTTTTGCAATCGAATTTTTGCAGTAAGTAATTGCAGCTTGAATGGCTGCTTGCAACTCTTCCATGGTACTGTCGCTAGCAGAAGAAGGAAGAGGTGTGGTTGCAATCAAGAGACCACTATTTGTTGGAGAAGTCTTCATTGATGCTGGTGCTGAATATTGTCCTCTCCAACCCTGCTTATAATTTCTTGGAGTTACATTTCCTGAATAGGAATAACACTGTTCACTACGGGGTCGAATCTTCTCTCTTTGTCCTTTGAAAAGCATCCTAGGCTGGACCATTCTCAAGTACTTTTTTATTGCAAGGATCACATCAAACCTTACCTTCTTCTTGTGCTTCACTTTGTCTTCCTTACTATCTTGGCATCCTTTGTGTCCCTTGGCTAATCCAAATAATGAAAAAGTAAATCTGGGTTTACCTTGTACCCTTTTTCCTATGTTGTTGCAGTCGTTGTCTTGGTCTCTTTTGCTGCTGTTGTTGCTGTCTGAGGTGGTGCTGTTGCTGCTACTATCCTTAATGGGGTGGTTTTCATCTATTAATAACTCTCTGATGGGGAGGGTGAAGCTGTCCATGGAATTGGTTGAAGAGCGCGGTGAAGAAGGGAGGTGTGAAAGGAGTTGTAGAGGGAGCAAGTGACCATGGAAGAAAATGTCATCAGCAGGAGATAAATCAAGTGCAAGAGAAGATGGTTGAGCTTGGGAGTTATCTTCCGGGAATGTGGGAAGGTGGTGGGAGATTGTGAAGGAGAACTCTTGAGAAGGGGAAGAGGGTGTTGAAGATTGTGGTGATGATGAAGTTTGGTCTTCTATATTTTCTTGCCAAAATAACTGTGGTGGTGGTGGTGCTGCTGCTTCAATTTGTTGCTTTGGCACATCGTTTTCTGTGTTCTTTTGGTGCTGATGAGTCTCCATAACAGTGAGGTTGCCTTGAAGACTAACAAGATTTGATGCAATATCTGAAATTCTTGGTGTTTAGTCTTTTCTTTTTGGTAGCCAGAGAATTGAATAAAGCTTTGCAATCTTCCTTGTATGAGTGTCAAATAAACCTTTAGAAGAGATAAAGAAATAAAAAAGGAGGAAATGAAAGAGGGAGTCTTTGTCAAACAGCATTTGGTGTCATTTTAGTATTTTCCTTTTTTTTGACAAAAGCTAACCATCTATGGTATCATATCATAAAAACTGATTCTCACGTTTTTACAGAACATATTTACCTATGTTTTATAAACTTGTGTCCCTACACCTGATGAGACAATTTTTTTATAAACTCGTTCCTCAACATCAAATATAAACATCTTTCTTATTAGGATGATGCATTTAACATGAAATTTTGTATTTGGTCTTTTTTTTAGCATGTGTGAAATAGTTTTGGATCATCACATAAAGAATGTGAAATGTGACTATAAATTAATCATGAAAAATATTGATTTTTTTTTTTTGAAGTGATGAATAGATGTTTAGCTTTTTAAAATGGAAGGTGAGGCATTATATTTTAGTCGATGGAGCAGTGTCATTGTTTTGTTTGTGTGTTGGGGTGTGGTGTATATAAAGTATTTGGTGTGTGTGGTGAGTGGTGTGTGTGCTGAAAAGGGTTGGCCCTTTTGTTGAATCCTTGTCAGGTCGACCAGCAATTGCGCGCTGGTTTGGGAAATAAGGTTAGAAACAGCCAAATTTGGCCACCAGAACATGATGGGATTGGCCACGGTTCATTTCACATCACACATTTTCGACCTTATATAATATGAGAAATTACCTATGAAAAGTAGGAATCGAAATAACGTAGTTAATCAAAAGTTTTATTAGGTTTGATTTAGGGTTATAATTATCAATTCCTTTTACATATTTGCAGACTAAATCAAAATTTTCATTATTTAAAGACTGACCCATTTAAATATTAAAAATACAATTGATAATTTCTCTACTACAAATATATAATGAGTCTGATTTGTTTATGTTACGTACATTTTGAAGTATTTTGGATTTAGAGACAAAATTTCCTTTTACTAAGATAAACACAAACATACTAACAAACCATTACTGACTAAAATCATCTTCAACTGTTGAAATCTATATAAACAAAATATATCAACATACATTTAATATTAGAATTTTAATAATAACTCAAAATTATAATTTTAATAATAACTAAACATTAGAATTTTAATATTGATTAATATAAAATGAAATGAAATAAATAAAATTTATATACAATTTTTTTTAAAAAATTATCATTTATTTATAATATCACTTAAAATTAAACATTTTATATAAAATTCACTCAAATATTAAATTTATAAAATGAATATTTAATTTAATTTTGAAATACTTATTATAGACTTGACTCGATATTATATATTTAAGAGTTTTTTCTACTCATTCAAAATATAAGGTCTATATAACAAAATTATCACATCTTGTTTCAATATTAAATTTTATTTATCAAATAATGATGTTTAACTTTAATTCACTTTTATAAACAACTCTATATATGATATGACTTTAAAATATAAATAAAATCATAAAAATTTAATATCTTTACCTGACTTTTTTATAAAATGGTAAATTTATTTTAACTAGTCTTTTAAGACATTTTAATTAATAATATATTTTCCAGTTGTAAATAAATTTAAATTCTAAATACGAACAATTAATAACATGCCATTATATTTTCTTCCAATTATAGATGTAAAATAACCTTTTAAAGTATTCCCAAAGAATTGCTCATATCTACGAGTGAGTCTCCTGAAAAAGAAAGTTTCATGTCCGTTTACACCAAGACTTTGAAAATTTGCACCAACTGTTGCAAAGGGATCTTTGAATAATATATATAAAATTAATTGTAGGACACTTTTGTGCTATTATATATTAGAGAGATGAAGATAAGAGCAAGGGAAGGGAAGTGATGATGATCTAAATAGTTATATTATCAACCCCTTTGAATAAATATTTTTCGAATGATTTGATTATTGATTTATTTTGAATTGAAAAAGAAATAAATTTAATCAATATGGTTAAGGTATTTTAATTTTAATGATCAAACATATTCAATTAATGGTATGTTTAATAGATATGGGAGAAATAAGTTATGTACAAATAAAAAGTAAAATAGATGACTAGGATCAAGTAAGTTAAAATTATTTGGTGGTAGAAAAATAAACATAAATATAAACACATTATGAAATAGTTAATAAATATTTTGTTTGATCTTTATTACAAAATATATTTAAAAAGAAATAGTTCTTTAACTTAATATTTTTTTATGAGGATATATATAATAAAAAAAATTATTAATAATTTGATATATTAATAATATTTTAAAAAATAAAATAATTATTTTTATTAATGTTTGTTTATTTAATAAAATTTTATGTTTGTTATAATAATATTATTAAGATTTATTATCACGTTGAATATGTTATTTATTTTAAAATTTTAATTTATCATAATTTTATTTTTTAAAATATTTTAATAAATATATATATATATATATATATATATATATATATATATATATATATATATATATATATATATATATAAATAAATGGTCATTCATTTATATATCGTTAAATTAAACCGTGTTAAAATAAAATGGTCATTCATTTATATATTATTCATGACTAAATTCAACTTTATTAAAACAATTTGAAAATTTGAATGGTAGGTTGTAAGTGAATAATAATTCAATAAAACATTTTTTAAATTACTTTTTATTATTGTATTTTTTTTGTCTATATTAGAGAATAAATTTGAGAAAATAAAAAAGACAAGAAAAAGGTGGAAATTGTAGTTGTTTGGATTGAAGAAAAAAATAATAAAAATAAGTGAAAAAATGATATAAGATATGATTGAATAAAAAAATTAAAATAATAATTTAAAATATATAATAACCAAAATATACTTATATTCTTAAGAAATAAAATAAATATAAATTAGAATGATGATATAACTTAATTTATATTAATTAATTTAAATTATACATAAAATTGTGAGATATATTAAAATTATTTTATATAGAAAATATAAAGATAATTTATGATTATTTTTAAATTTTAAAATTACTAAATAATTATTTCAAAATAATTTTAAATTATTAATTAAAAATTATATAAGTTTTTATTTCATGTACTAATTAAAAAATAAAATATAATAAAATAATTCATAATAAAAAATAAAATCAGTTACCTATTAAAAAATTAAATTTATATTTAAATATAATTTTAATTTTATTATAATAAAAAATTATAAAATTACATATAACTATAATTATATATATTATCAACATTAAATTTATATATAATAAATATAATAATATTTTTTAAATATAATCAATTCCTTGTATTATACAATCGATTATTTGCACTATATAATTCATTATACAAATTCATTTAATCAATTACATCTCTTCAAAATTTCATTTTATCTATAAAACTATATTCAAAATATAATTACATGATTATATACATTTATAAAATAATTAACACAAATTTATATTCAAAATAAAAATTAAATATAAATAACTAAAAATAATACATAATGAAAAATAATATTATGCATTAATAAAAAAAATATAAACTTATATATAATAGATATATAATTATAAAGTAAAAAAAATAAAAATATAATATTACAAATTATAAATAAAAAAATTATGAAATAAAATAATATATTTAAAGGTAATATGGATAATAAATATGATATAAATAATTTTTTATGCATTTCTTCTCGTATAAGAAAAGAAAGATAAAACATTTAAGTTCCACATATTTTTTTTCTTAAAATCATGTAAATAAATTATGTGATTTTAATAATAATAATAATAATAGTAATAATAAAAATCATCAAATTAATTATACTATTTTTATTTATTTAATCTTTATTTCTGTAAGAATATTTATTTAGACAATATAATATTTTTGTACAAGTATTATTTAAGATAATTCATTTTACAAAAAATTGACTTTTCAACCAAATCCCACTAATTTACTAAATTAAAAGAGAAATGTAAAATTAAAGGATTAACATTTCATTTATAACCCCAAATATTGAATTCATTATTTTTATTTCCTTTCACCCAAACACATCATTATTTTTGTTATTTTCATTATTTTCTATTCTAAAAAGATTTTTTTCAATTTTACTTAAAATAATTAAGTGGGATATGAGTGTACCTGTTATAAAAAATAAAGTGTGAAGTTGATGTAGGTGTATAAACACTATGCAAGTATCTTTGCATGAACGTAGGTTAAATATATATTTGGGAGTGTGTGGTGTAGTTTGGTCCCTTGTGATTGAGTTCCCCACGTGCACTCAAGCGTGTTTGGTGTTCACACAGCAAGGGCCTAACAAACAGTCAAAAAAGACTAACCAAACATATATACATCTCTCCAAATTGCAATGTTGATTCTGTGTCAACTAGTGAATGGCCCTATCCCTTTGCAATTCAAGATTCTATTCCTATCATTTTCTTTCCTTTTCCATTTTGTTTCTTTCATATAACACAATTATCTAAGAATAATAATATTTTTTACAACAATTTTCAGCAATTACATTATTATAAAAAGTCATTTTATAACATTAATTTAAACGAAACTTATTTAAAATCTAACACAATTACAACTTTATAAATATTGATGAAATTTTTTATAAAAAAATTAACTGATATAGACAGTTATTAAAACATGATAAATAATAATAGTAATTGCTATTGGAAATATAAAAATCACATGTACAAGTTGACCCAATAATGTAGAACAATCATACAAAGAGTGAACATAATTTGTTTCCAAGGAGAATGAGATCATCACGAAGTGAATATTGATTCACTGAGTTTCGAATTTTCTTTTATCCTCTAAAGGAGCAAATAAATTTAAAAATTCACCTAATCATATTTGTTTTTCTCAATAGACTAATGT